ATCTAGACGTTTACCTATTTCAGAGGAAGAACGAGTAATTGTACTCGAGAATTACGCAATATTTTCAGGGTGGGATGAGATACTCCAACACGTCAAGCAGCGCATTTTAAATTTTTTTTAAATTTTTTCGTGGTAATAGAAATATAAAAGAGTATTATTCAAGTACAGCACGAGAAGCTATCATTAAAAGGATTCGCCGAATCGTAAGCCAAAATCCGCTACGCAATCGGTCCGAATGTCCCAGACCATCTTAGAGGCTAAGACAAGATATTCAACTAAAAGCAGTCCAGAAGAAARAGCAAAGGCGAAGTTCAGTTACGCAAATCTGGATGATGATTCCGAGGAAGAGGAGGAAGAAGAAATCACAGTTCAAGCCAACTCTGCTGTAAAAGAGCCAGCCTTGTMACAGGATGCCGCAGTGGGAAAATGTAAGAAGAGGAAGAAATCTAAAGGAAAGTCGGTGGCTGCAAACAAGGCGCACACCGAAATGTGTTCAAAGGCCATGAAAATGATGGGCAGAATTGATACATTTTTGAATAGATTTGAAAGTGAAGGCGAAACAGATTGAAAAAAGTTATAAAAAATGATTGAGATTTAACGCAATTTGGCTGTTTTGTTAGATGTAGGTACATTATATTCAGTCTTGAAAATACAACAATAAACATATCAAATTAAACGCAAAATCCCATATGTGATATATGTAGTGATTAGACATAAACATAAGCGGCGGAAGCGGGGAGGGGGTACTCTTTGACAGGCAAAAGTTATCATATTTTCTTCATAACCTTTCTGAATCCCTCATTTATTGACTGCACTCTATTGTTCTCTATGACTTTTGCCTGCATTTTGTGCACAAGAATGACTGAAAAGACAGCGCAAGCACTCGCCCGTGCGTGCAGAAACTTATTTGCATATTTAGTCGCTGTTTCTACTATAGTGGTTAGTAGTTGGAGTTATGTGAAAGATATCTAGTACCTACTGTAATGCTGCAAAAACGATTGTCTTGAAATAGTTCAATTTATTTTGAAATTGGTAGTATTTCGCTATAGACACTTGATTGCTCAGTTCCGTCGAGTCTTTCAGCGATGTATCACCTCGACTAAGTTTGGTTTTTGACAAAAATAGAGTATATAGACAAATATCTCTAATAAGTAGTTTTTGGATCTTTCCCATGTTTTATCCTTTTAGAAAATACAACATATCATATTTAATAGGTATATATCACGAGTTTTGAATGAAAACGCGTAAATRCATGGGTTACAAAATATTTACATGGTCAATTTGATGTGAGCATACAAGAGCCACGAGGTAGTTTGGCTAGATGAGTACTCAGAGCATAAAATGTTCATTCATGATTGAGTATTCTGTTTACCATGTTTAGTCACATATAAAATTATTCAAGAAAGGACGTACTTTTATTTTAAATTTTAGCCAAATATTTATCTACATGTGTAGAGTGCAAATAATATACCCGTGAAATAGATAGCTAGCTAACTCAGGGGCGTAGCGAGGACCTAGGAGCTGGGGGGGCACTGATCCAAAATAAAAAAATTACTCCTTCCCAATTGAAACAAATAAGCGATCAAACAAACATTTAAAAATTATTTAAAAAAGGACGTACTTCTTCATTCCCTTTTGGATCTTTGAGAAAACTACTGAATTCGAAGACGAAGCAAGTACAAAAGTCAGCTGAATTGGGTAAATTTGATATGACTGATATGAATGTCCAGTTTGCTAATTGTACTTTATAGTCAAACTGAGCTAGTTAAGTCTATGTATGTAGCTACGCGTAAATATGCATGGGTTACCAAATTACATGGTAAATTTGATGTGAGCATACAAAAGGCGTTACCCTATCCTAGACAAAAGCCTTACCCTATGCCAGACAAAATTTTTTTTTTTTTTTTTTTTCTTACGGTAATAAAGCGTTCATTCATGATTGAATTTGCCTTCAGCTGGGATAATTAAAGCAATGGTAATAGTTTTGTTTAGCATGTTCAGTCACATACGAAATTATTCCAGAAAGAACTCTTACATGCAGCATTCTTCTTTCCCTTTTGGATGACAAAGCCACTGAAAAACAAGCAAGTAAAGTCAGATGAATTGGGTAAGTTTGACAAATGCTCAGTTTGCTAGCTGGTATTGTCGGAAATGTACTTAATAGCCAAACTTAGCTAGTTAACGTCTATGTATAAAGCAACGCGTAAATGTATAGGTTACCCAAATTACATGGTCAATTTGATGTGAGCATGCAAGCACCACGAGGTGGTTTGGCCACGAGGTGGTTTTGGCATGCAAGCTCTCACGAGGTGAGAGCGTTGAGCGTTCATTCATGGTTGAGTTTGCCTTCACGATGTTCTGTTTACAATGCGCAAGCCTGCTCAGTCACATATGAAATTAAGCAAGATAGGAGCATATAAAAGAACTCTCATAATGCAGTATTCTTCATTCTCATTGGAATTTTGACAAAGTCACCGAAGAAGAAGCAAGTAAAGTCGGCCGAATTGGGTAAGTTTGACATATGTTCAGTTTGCTGGCTGGCATTGACGGAATTGTAAAGTAGTTAAACTTAGTCAACGTCTATGTATGCAGCTACACTTAAATGATAGTAGGAGTTTTAACAACTTGCTGTTAATGAAAAAACGAACGTACAGTTATGCGCGCAACCGTTGTACAGCTCGTGTCAAGTTGGTCATTTTCAAAGTCGCCGAGAGGGAGGGGCTGGGAGAATGTGGCTATAGCACCCTCTAATTTTTGCTTTTTCCGTGCTAGTATATTCCAAGTACATAACCTTATTATTTATAAATTTTAAAACTTTTTCAATTAATTACATTGAATTTATATCCATCAGATTACGACTTCATTTAAGCCATGCCGTACAACAATCTTCTCTTATGCCTTGGGATAGCATTTATGATGTTTGCCATTAATCGGGCTATCCCCATTAAAAAAGGTAAACAGTTGCTATTACATTCTATAAACTGTTTATGTTTCTAATATGTACGTGTTGTTTTATATTCTATTTGTTTGTAAAAATATATTCGGATTGGAGGATAATAGCATCACTTGTTTTTCTCTCCTTCAATCAATTTTCTTTGGCTCAGCTTTTTTCTCTTATCAGCCTCGATGTAACAATACAACTTCAAATAAATTTCAAATCTCAATGTGCGGCCGGGTAACACAATGCAAGACGTTATTATTGATATTTCGTATTTTTGATTTAGATGCCGCTGTTTCTAAAAGGACTGAAAACAAGTGGGGCAATGGTGCCGTTAGCAACGAGTGGGGCAATGG